GAAGATTTGCGTTTAAGTTTAATGCTGCCATTATTAAATATTATTAGTTTGATGGGGAAAATGTCAAGAAAAGGCTCTATATATATAATAAATTTATTATGATTTCTTTGAGTTTATTTTTACGATCTTGTTTAAATTTTTTAGTTCTAATGCAACTTTACTAAAAATGGCCAATTTTTTGAAATGATTTTGTAATAATTTTAAAATACTACAAAAATACATTTAATACATCAAAATGGTTTTATTATATTTTTGCTATTATTTTGTAATTGCATTGTATTTAGGTCTATAAAAATAACTCAAAATAATATCACAATAATTTTTTAATGTTTTTGTTATTATTCTATTATTATAATATAATTAACTTTGATATTATTTTAATATTTTAATTTTAAAAATATCTTAAATATATTTTGATATATTTTAAAAATTTTACAAAATAATTGCACAATTGTTTTAAAAGCCATTGTATCTAGGTCTATAAAAATATTTCAAAAAATTGGCCATTTTTAGTAAAGTATCTACCTCCACCATCTCAAAAAACTCCATATAATATAAGAAATCAACTTCAAAAAATAATTAATAGTGAGCATATACTTGATTTAACTAGAAGGAAATTTCTAACTGGTAAGTTAAATAAATATAATTGTAATTTATATCATATATAATATTTGTATAATTCAATAAATATAATATAAAATTATTTGTAGGAACTATGATTCAAATATATTTAAATGGAAAAATGTTAAGTGATTTGCATCCCTCATTAAATAATCAATTCAAAATTGATTATTTTATTAAAAAAAGTCAGCGTTTCCAATATCCATTTGGTTAAAATGTTTTAGGTGTCGTACATGAATTTATGAAACATAATATGAGTGCAGATCCATATATACATTAAATATCATGAATTAATACAATAACTTTATTTGTTGCATTTAGGATTTTTTGATAATGGTCAATACATTGTTTTATGTGCTACTAAAGAACAAACAATAGCACTTTCTGAATTGACACATATTGAAATTGATATGGCGTTTAAAAGAATTTATGGTATCACAAATGAATGGAAAGTAACAGCATATTTACCTTGGGTACAGAAAAGTAAGTATAATTACTGAATTTTGGTCATTTATTTAATAAAACCTTTTATTTAGTTTTTTATTGTTAATTATTATATGAAGCTTTGACTTTTGCTCGAATATTTACAAATATTGAAACGGCTGAAGCATACCAAAATTTATTTGAAGATTTGTTTGGATGCATAGCTAGAAAGAGATATAGGCGAAACTTTTAATTTTCATCACATTCATGGCGAAGGATTAGGCTGCATTATTGCAAACCAATATAAAGGACAAGCTCTAGGTGAAATTAAAATATTATATATTTCAAATTATTTAAAAATTTTATTTTAAATTAACTTTTTTTAATAGGATTGGGTCAATATTTAAATTCAAAATATCCACACTTAACTCCTATCGAACATTTACAACATATCTACAAGCTCTGTCAGGTGCATTACAAATGGTAAATAAATATATTTATCTTATTTATAATTAAAACTATATAATTAATACAATTATTAACAATAATATTTTATAGGAACATTGACAAAAATAAAGCATTGTCAAGTGAAATTCGTAGCGCGATGTATATAGTTACTAATTTAAATACTCAAAATGAAGTTTTAAAAATATTGCATAAAATTCATGATTGTGGTGAACCAGGAACAACAGGTAATTAAATTATAATTATTACAATTTAATTTGTTAATTTATATAGATATTAAAAAGAATATTCAATTTTTTATAGCATGGGTTAAAGATAAACTTACTCTGTAGGTTTTATCAGGAATATCAAGTGTGTTTAGCAAAATGGATCATGTTATCTGGAGTCAAACACCAAATAATACCAATGCTGGAGAAAGTGTCCATGCCAATGTAAATCGCGATGGACACAATCTTTCCCTTCTTGCAGGGATAGTTAGGTAACTATTTTTATATTCTACATAAAAAAATATAATTTTACTTATCTATTTTTTGTTTTAAGAGGACGTGATTTTGATAAAAGGCAGTAGGAAAGCACTGACGTTTATGAAAAATATAATGTTCCAGACACTTATCGAAATAAGTCAGAACTTGCACGGTCAATACAATCAGAGAAACGTGCAGGTAAATTTATTGAAAATCTTGTTATTTACTACTATTCCATAATGTTTGTTATATTTTAGTTTAATTATTTTAGAAAAAAGGCGTAAAGGTAGTAGACAGCCTTCAAATATGGCAAAGAAGCGAAAAAATAATTGCCATAATAAGGAAAATATAACTGAGATTATTGATTTAGATGATTTAGATAAAAACCAGCATATTGAGCAATGTCAAAAAGTAAATAATTTGGAGTATGATTTGTTAAATATTTAAAAACAAAGGAATAATGAAATTGAAAGAGAAATTGCATTAATTGAAAAGTGAAATCAACTGTTAAGTTTGTGAAATTTTATATATTACATTTGGTTTTTTATATTATTTATTCGCTAACTAATAATAAAATATATCTACAATAGGAATAAAGGGAACATAGTATTCTGATGATCATGTAACTAAATGCGCAGGAAAGATGATAAGTTGAGTTATTTTTTAGTAAATTTATTATTAGGAAGATCGTAAAGGAGAAAAGATTGGGTGGGAGAAATTTTTTTAGTAATTTTTCTGTTACTTTTTTTGCACTTTTTTTCTTAAAAATTAAAAATTTTGGCGCAAAATTACAGTAATAAACTTAGGTTTTGAAAAATGATTTATAATAAATAACCAAATAATAAATAATAAATTGTAAATAAGTTTATTAAGAAATAAATATATGCGATTAATTTTATTTTTACTATAAATACAAGTACACAAAAAATGCATGCGATTAATTACAAGAAGCTAATATAAGTCACATGAAATTACAAATCACATGACTTCGATAACTGTACTGTACGGTAAATTTGGATAAAATTTCGTACAGTACAGTAGGGATTGGAACTATCAAAAAAAGCTTAACCGGCTAATAACCGGTTAATTAAAGCGTCTAACTGGTTAATAGTCGGTTAATTAATCAGTTAATTAACCGGTTAATTTGTAATGAGGCTAATCAGTTAATAACCGGTTAATATATAAATTTTATATTTTTACGTGTGTTTTAGAGGCCTATTTTTTGTATTTTAACGCGCGTTTAAAGATAAATTTTTGTGTTTTTAACTAAATAGTATTATTTAAGAGTAATTTCTGGTAAATATTTATATTAAAATGTATACATTAGTAAAAAATTACATACAGTATATTGTAATTACTTACTACCCAGTCATGCAGTGGTCACCGGTATCAGCACTAAGTTGAAAAGTTTTTTAATTATATTTTTAGTTCTATCTGAAATTACATTCCAATTCTGATGGCCACTGTAGTATTCAAAATTTTGCATTTTTTCTTATTTAAAATACTATACCCGATCATATGCTGATTTCTGCATAAATCAAGGTTATAACTTTAGAATATTTTAACATAAATAATGTTAAATTATAAATATCATATGCAATATATTATATTAAAATATAAGATTGCAGGTTTATCATCGAATCTATACATGCCACCCAAATTATTTTGGACTGCCGTAATTATAAGTAAAATCCCAAATTCAATTATGGCATCCCAAATTATTTTGGCACTTTACATAGTAAATTATATATAAACCGAATGAATTATGGCATCCCAAATTATAATTATAGCATTAATTTGAGCAGCATGTATAATCGAATCTATTAGGGTGGGCAAAATTAAAGTTAATGCTAGTAAAGTTAAAGTTAGAAGTTGGCTAGGAATTACTAATTTAAGATGATCTGTATTTTAACCGGTTAAGTTAGCCGGTTAATTAGTCAGTTAATTTAACCGGTTAAATTAACCGGTTAACCGTTTTTTGAGAGGTCTTAACTGGTTAACCGCCTTAACCGGTTCCAATCCCTACAGTACAGTACAGCGCTTATTATAGTACTGTACTGTACTGTATGAACTTTAGTTAAAAACTTACCGTACAGTACAGTTTATAGATCTACCTATATTTATATGGCAAAAATTTATGTTGATCACATGTAGATCACAATAAACTTAATCACGTAACAACTGATATGTATATTAAAAAATTATAATATCGCTGCACAATTTATCTGGTCTTTATTATATAACCCAGAAAAATTCTTCGATTACGTGATCTGTTTTATTTATCACATCGTCACACCCTGTCCGAAGTTTCACTGTTTATATTTATCTGAGGGACTTAGATTTTTTCAAGTAGATGAAATTCTATTTGTCACGTTTTATTCATCACATCCTAAATTCTTCGATCACGTGTCAGTGCATAACGCCGGCCGAGTTCGAAGAATTTTCTGGGTGCCGTTGGGGTAGTTGTCTTTATTAGATAATTCCAATTTTCTATATTAGCTTTTACCAATGCATCTTCAGCGAGGCCAAAAATGAATACACTACAAGTACAAGTTTGTCCTGTTGAAGATCTATTCAATATAATATCTTTTTCAACTATTTTACGTAAAATCAAATCATCCAACAACAAAAGAGCATCTTCTTTAGTTTTCAATTTCCTTGTAAATTTCTCTTAGTATACTGCTAAATTACCAAACTGACTTTTTACTTCCTTTGCCTGTGACCGTCTAAATACATCTACAATATTATTTCTAGTTATTTGTTGATGCATTTTAGTAGTTACATTTATAATTTCCAACATTTTTAACACATCTGATTGAACGTCTATATATACTGGATTATCAGTTACACGTCGAATACAATTATCACAAAGTGTACATTCTTGAGGTACGGGATCACCTGGCCATGCGAAATAATTGGAAATTGCTTGTTTACGACATTGATATACAGTTGAACAATAAAATAGTACTTCTCTTATTTTATGTTTTGTGTCAGATAAATATTTGATACGATTTGAAGCTTCAAGTTCTTCTTCACTCGAAATTGAATTACTATTATTAGTAATAAAAATTTATTAGTCTTTCTTTATAAAATAATAAATGAATGGATAAACAAAATACGATATTTTTTTTATTTTTACCTATTTTTTCCTCCTGAGTAAACCCCCATAACTGTTCTAATATCTTTTCAGCTAAACATAATAATTGCTTTTGCAGGTAGTCCATCACGGCCTGTATGACTACTCTCTTGTATTAGATTTCCTATAATGAAAAGATAAGATCAAATTGTCTAATAAATACACAAATTCGTTGTTATACCGTCACGATTTGTGACGGAGCTTAGGAAACACGTAATTTTCTGTTTTTTAAAGGTATATAGCACAATATTTATATTATCCTTAGCTAGATAACAGCATATAGAAAACCGTTCCCTCAGGGAACGATCAGTCATGTGATTTTTTTTTTGGCATTTTTTTCAGAATTGCTTTGGGATTATTATTTGTAATAACTTATATTTTTTAACATGCATATATATGGTATGGTTTTACCGATATGCAATTTGTATCGTATATCAATACACGATCACTTTCTAAGCATTGGGAAAATGTAAAAAATGTAAGCCCAATTAGGCGAACTAATGCTTTATTATAACTTTATTCTAATTATTGAAAATGTTGTATTAATACTTAACGGCCTCATTTCTTATTAATAAATTTATTAACATTATATTAACTGCCATTTATCAACCAAAGACTGTTTCTGTTTGAAGACAAGAGGTAAAAAAGTTTTGATCGCATCCTCCCTTTCTAAATCTGTCTTTTCATCAAACTTACTCCATTGGGTATCAAGTGGCCAAGGACGAGTGAAAAGTATTTTAGACAGTCTTTTGCTAATTTCATCATCACAACATTTGAAAGATCCGACGCCTTGAATATGAATAATTTGATCATAATCGTTCTTTTCATCTTTCTTATCTTCATTATTTTTATTTTTTGATCGCGTTTGTGGAACATTTCTACTCTTTAATTCTGCTTTTGGTTCAACCGCTTTCACTCTATCTAAGCCAAGATCGATGTAGATGCCTAGAATCTTATAATCCTTCTTCCATTCACCAAAGGAATTTAATGGCTGTATTAAAGAAGAAATATCCTTAGCACCAAAGGTTGTTTTTTTCGCGTTCTTGTTTTGAATTGAAATAATACCATAGCCGGCATTATACTTGAAGGGAATGATATGATCAATAACATGAAAACCTAATGGCATTTTGAAAGCAGTGTGGCGGTGATAAGCTTCTATGACAAGATTCTCTGATAGAAATTTCATCCCCCCGGATTTCACATAATCTTGATTGGTAGCTAACAAAGATGTCCAATGGTTAAAACCAATTTCTGCCTCATCAATACCCATTCTTTTAAGCAACTCATCAAGACCATCTATTTCTTCGCATAATAAGGACTTTAAAAATGATTTCAGAGGAACTTTTTGCAAATATGTTAATGGTGAACTAGGGAAACATTCCTTCACAGCATCTGCATAAGCTTTTGAAAATAAGATTCGATTGACAAGTTCTCCTCTTTCTCCCGCTTCCACAACCCCACGACTAAACAGTTCCAACAGTGTGTCCAAGCAATTTTCCCAACCAACATCAATAATACCTTTAAGTGCCCCGGATGCAAGGATAGGATCAGAAGGATATGTACAAAGAATACTTGTACGATCAAGTGAGACTCCTATTGCAGTTGCCATATGGGATGCTATCAAGCTGTCTACTTCTGCAATTCGAGGGGAAACCTCAAGAGATAAGGAGCAAGCCATACATGCAAGATTCGCAAGATGATCATTATTCTTTTTACTAAAATTGCGGATCTTTTGTGAAGCTAGGTGAACAAGGTTTATAAGACTAACTCCGGCTTGAGCAAGGGAACCCCAAAGTGGAATTCCTAGATAAACAACCCTTGTATAATCATATTCTTTACCAACATTTTCGGCAAGCGGTGCTAATACATCCATGGTGTTGACATCTAAATACGCAGGAAATATAACGAAATCATGTGATCTGGCAGAGCTAGTGTCTTTTGTCACTGGAGGGAGGAAATTGCCAACCTTTCCATTTGTACTGAGAAGGATATTAAAGAATCCAGCCCATGAAATTTCTCGAATTTGTCGTCTCCATTGAACAAAATAGGTTTTATCATCCTTTGTCTTTGTAAGTAATTCATGCGCCTCATCAATACAACAAACTATAGAGATTTCTGTATCGGGAAATAATTTCTTCACAAAATTTTCGTTATTATAGTCTGATGAAAGTTTTTTTTGTTGTAATAATGATTCAAAGACACTTTTCCAGAAATCATTACGCTCAGTTTTGTGATCATCTTTAATTTGAATATTCCAAAACTCCTCTGCGCTCCAGTTTTTATTCTTAATTTCTTTGATTGCTATAGATAAGAGGGCCCCAAATTTATAGTCCCGAATTGTTTCCAGAATTTTTTGAACGTAAGGTGTTGATACAGGGTAACCAGAACTACTCTCATGTCTTTTACAAATGTACAGGATATAGGTCCCCTTGGTTCTCAGCTCCCCCACAAGCCGTGTTTTACCAGAACCAGAGCTTTGTATAATTGCTAAGTAAGGGGCGTATGGTTTTATCTGCTGGTACCATTCATCATGAAATTGTTTTAGTCGCGAATAGAAAGTTTCCAAGGTTGTGCCTTGGTATTCAACTTGAAATGCTTCTTCAATACGATTTGGTTCAACATGACTCGCATCTACAAAAAAAATATAAGATGGGCGCTGATTAACTAGTTGCTTAATAATGCATCAAAGTTTCTACTATACATTCTTACCTTCTTCTTTCTCATCACTTGAAGAGCTTTCATCATCTAATGATGACAAGTGAGGAAAATGTTAGCAATCAGTGTGTAGATTTTGAAATAACCCATGTTACGCATACCATTTTCTGTGACTATAATATCATATGCATTATCTTCCGTATTGTGTAATTCCGTGACAAGTTTACTGTCCTCCAAAGTCTTACTTCCACGGTAAATAGTGACATTTCCTGATATATCAAACCGGGCTTTGATCGTCCTTTTCAGATCATTCACATCGGATACCGCAAAATCTTCCAGACTACTTTGTTTGATAGAGACGCGTTCATCATTATAACGGACCCATATTTGCTTATCTTTTTTTGCGGTTAGATGGAATGTGAGTAAAGAGTATTCAGGTATTTCATAATAAAATTCTTGTATGGCCAAAACAATCAATTACCTTGAAGTTGGAGTCCTGCTATGCCGGACGTTAAACTTGCTATTCCTTATATAACGAAAGAGAAACGACAGCGAAAAAATCAGTATATATTGGAGTTCACTAGTTCTATTACGACTCACTTACCAATGGGTTGCTCTACGATAACGCGAATGTGTTTTTTGGGCGGGTTTGACGATAAGAAGCAGGAAAGAAAAGCACAAGAATAAGTAAGCATTCGGTATTATTGGCGAATATGACACGTTGTGAGCAAGAGAAGACGAAAAAAAATGTTATGACTCACCAGTAACGGGAACGTCAACAACAACTCCAATATTATTTCCTACAACGTTTTGAAATGTATTTCCAACCGTATCAGCTGGCTCTTCTAATTTTTCGTTTAAGTAGGGTTCAATAGCAGTTTCTTTATTCCTAAGTATACTCGAAGCAACATTGACCTTCCATAGAACTAGTTCATCGGGTGCAAAATCATTAAAACGTGGCTTCCTCTCTTCCTTGATAACTTTTCTAAGGTCGTCAAGATCGTTACCCGATTCGATAGTAATTTTGAAAATAGAACGATTTTCACGAATGATACACCAAAGATTAATAAGCGTTCCAGATGGTGCAATATTAGACATATTGTATCACGAAGGATGGATAAATGGGGAAGAAATTTCTTTTTCGTAAATCTGGGGAGTTTGATATAAATAAGGGGTAAGGTCGCACAGATTGATCTATTTCAAAGTCACATGATTCCGATAGTTACTGCGCAAAGATATAAGAATTCGGCACGTGAAGATGCTTATATAAGATAGACTTTTGCTGTGCCGTTGCATGTGATGTGAGTAATTTCACTGCGCCTATTATACTGTACGCGTGATGCAAAGATCAAAATGCCAATATATAACAAGAAGACTGGTAGAAGTAATATGTCTGGTTTTGAAACATCTAAGAAGCGGGAAATTCGATTAAACATCGTGATGACATGTTTAGAGAAACTAGCCGAGCAATAAACCAACTTACTTCATTATTACTTTGCGGAATATACTCGTTCATTTAAATGATAAGTTTTATTGTTTTGCTTGATTTTTTCATTTTACTTGCACAAGGCGGATAAAGGATTCACTAATCAGGTCATCACCTTTTTATATAATTTACAGGATTGATTTTGTTATACGCTTTTGGGGGAAATTATGTTAATATGATCGCATCACGAAAATCTCGTCAACAGACTCTCCTTAATTTAACAATAAAAGATTTAATGCTATCCATATGTAAAGATCATCAAGGGTCCTTTTACAATAATATACAGTACGTAATAATTTTGAGAATATGCGAGAAAGTTTGAGAATAAAAGTCCCTGGATCTTCGCTGGCAATTTTAATTTGCCGATACAGATTTCCGTTAGTGCCCTAAACGTTTTTTATTTGCAATACATTGAGCTAAGATAAATTACATGGTGCGGGACTACCCTGGGTATATGATGCCATTCTATGATTGTATCTATTATACACGATTATTTTTTTGAATGATATTTCTCTATTCTAGCTTTTGATAGGAAATTCCGCAGTCAATTTTTGGCTCAATAAAAATAATATTAAAATATTAATTATTAAAACCTTTCCGAAACTCAAAACCTTTCCAAATCTTTCTAAAACACCAAAAAAACATGATTATTTCACTTATTTGCTTCAAAAATAATAAAAAAAAAGGATTTTATAATTTTCCGCTATAGCGGAGTTCCGCTAGTGTCACGTGACGCGAAGATCATTTCCTTTTTAGGAAATTAGTATAACCAATTTGCTCCATTTTTCGTTAGAAGTAAAATTCCCTTTTTAGGAAATTTGTGTAACATTATATGATTTGACTGGAATTACGGAACTTGACCGGAATTAACCATGTGACGAATAAGGTGACAAATATGATTTTTTCATTAAAAAAATTCTAAGTTCAAATAATACTTAGTAATTTTTGAAAGCTTGAGGGTGTGATACAGGGTGATGGTTTAAACGGTACACAAAATTCCAAAAAAGGAAATTTTACTTCTGACGAAAAACGAAAATTATTTATGCAAATGAGTTACACAAATTTCCAAAAAAGAAAATGATATTCATGTCACGTGACACTAGCAGAACTCCNCACGTGACACTAGCGGAACTCCGCTATAGCGGAAAATTTTAATTTTCAAAAAAAAATTATCGTAGAATATAAAACAAGTGGTATTTTTTTCCTATTCTGTAATCTGTGGGATGGGTTACAAAGTTCCTTTTTAAGTATTTGTTAAAAGGATTTTATATTATTTTTATTGTATGTTCCCATAAAGCTCCCGAGTTGGGATCTTCAAAACACTTGCAACGTATATTCTTTTTTGGTTGGATCTGCCTGGACGAAATAGGCAAAAAATAGGTTGAAAAGTTATATTCTTAGATCTTAGAGTAGGTAATCGATTCGGATTCGGTTCCCTATTCCTATTCCTTTTCGATTTCTGTTTGGATTCGATCTTAGATTAGTTAGCCCCACCCTCCCTCCATGGGAACACGTGTCTTTAAATAAAAAAAAAAAGTTTCTTTTTTTTTTTTTT